GCTGCTCAATTAAAAATCAAAATAAATCTCGTTTTCCAGCTCCTGACTAACAAATTAATGAATAAATAAATAAACTGCTTACTCTAAGATCAGAATATAATTTGTGCTTTTGGTAGGAGAACATATTTTACCCCCAAAGGAAGAATGAAAATCATTACTTTTGAAATATACATATTGATTTATTTTATAGATATTTCTATATTTTCAGAGAGCTGAATTCAAGGTTATCCTCATAACTCAGTGCTCCCAAACCAGTGGTTACTGAAATTAAACTCCTTCACCAGTACAGGTACTTGGAAGTGAGGTCAGAGGGAAGGGAATTCCTGGGAAAGACCTGAGTATTGTGTTCCAGGATGGAATTTTCCCATTTTTTCCAAACCTAGAAACCCCCCTTTCAGTGAAATCCTTCCTTCCCACCTGCAAAGTCTTTTCAGGTTGTTTTTTTATATATATAAATCCAGCATTTTATCAAGGGAAGCTGATGAGAAGTTTAGAGCAGGTCAAAAGCTGCTTCTCATGTCACACCTGGGTTCAAACATGCTGAAAACAAACCCAAAACAGGTCCTAACTTCTGATAAAAAAGGAATAAATCATCCCAAAAAAAACCAGAGACAGCATGGCCACATCCCACCAGGGGACAAAGCCAGCACCACACAGGAACCACTGAGAAAAGGCACCAACCATCTGTCCCTACCTTGAAAATAGAAGCATCCACCTCCTGGTTGTAGTCCTGCTTCCCGGCGTGCTTCCAGGGGATGCGGAACATGGATTTCTGCTCGTTCTCCCAGATGAGCCCCGGGTAGAGCTCGCTGTCGATCTGCTCGATCAGCCACTGCCGCAGCCGCCTGCCGCCGTTCCGGTCACACATCCTGCGGGGCCGGAGGGGTCCAAGCCCTGTCAGCTCTCCCAGCTCCATCCCAGCACAGCTGGGCCAGCAGGGATTGGGCTGCTTTGCCCCGTGCTCAGCTGGCCATGGCACCACCTGCAGCTTTTGGAAGCGCCACGTGCCAAAGTTTGCCCGTGGAATGAGATGATCTTCAAGGTCCCTTCCAACCCAAACCCTTCTGGGATCCCTCAATCCTGTAATTCTAGGATTAAAATATCCCCCACCCCACCCCTTGTTTCTTTTAAAATGAAGCAAAAAAACCCAACAAAATCAAGGCAATTTCCTTCTGAGTTACTACAAATTCTTCCTCCAGCTCTACCAAAGTTCCGCTCCCAGAAGCGGCTGACTCAGTGCTCTGCTTATTCCTATTTTGCTGCAGGATAAATCACAGAGGAAGCAGATGGATGGGGATTAAAGCCCCCGGCTGTGCTGTCACCTGAGCAAGTGACACTTGCCCATCCTGGGGTTCCAGAGCTGCTCTTGGCACAAGGATTTGTCCCGGAGGGGGGCAGCAGCTCCTCTCACCAGGCACTATTGAGGGAGCAGATGCCAGCCCCAAACTGCATCCCAAATCCTCACAGGGATAAGGAACACACAACCGCTGGAAGCAAAGTGCCAGGCTCGACCCTCCCTGCCACCTCCACGGCGTGACAGCAGCTGGGCCTGGCAGAAGTGACCAGCAGCCCCTGAATCAACTTTCCAGGCATTTGGGGCTCTAAATTTTACTGGGCTGCCTCTCCCTCTTTCGTTTGTAATTTACTGCCCTACTGGAAGATTTCTGGGGAGGAAACAAGGATGCTCCCAGCACAGCCTAAGAGGCTGTGCTCCCTGCTTTGCCATGGGCTCCCACCAGCTCAGTGTCACCAAATTCCATGTCCCCTCACTGACCAGCAGGACACAGAGATGGCTCTGGCCATTCAGAGCACAGCCCCTGTTTTTTAGGGGTGGTGGGCAGCCAAAACATCACGGAGGGCACGGCTCTGGATGCCCCAAAAGATGCCACAGCTCGTCCCTGGAGGAACGGGGGCACACGCAGCCTCTCTGGGGGCTCCAGCACCCAACCTGAGCGATGCCAAAAGGGAAGAACCCGAGAAATCCCGCAGAAACGGGACACTCCTAAATCACCCCGTCTTCTAGAAAGCTTCTTCCCATCAGCGCCGGATCTCCATCTCCCTCCCCGAGAGGGACTCGCCCACTCGGGACAAGGTCAAGGAGCGCTCTCCCTCCCCCGGGCTGGCAGCGGCAGCCCCGCACCGACACCCGCGGCTCCAACACGCCCGTACCGGGCTCTGCGAGCCGCGGCGAGCTCGGTCCGTGCGCAGGGCACCACGAGATGGGGACTCCCCGCATCCCTGCCAACCCCCTGCCCTTCTCCGCAGCCCTGCGGGGAACCGGGGCAGCGCTCGGGACCTGCCCCTGCCTTTCCGCCGCTCGGGGCCGGTGCCTTCCCGGTGTCCTCACAGAGGATGCCGCTACAGGACGCTGTCCCGCGGCACGTCCTTGGGACAGGGGATGCCGGTGCCGGTTCCTGCCCTGCCACGGGGGATGCCGGTATCTGTCCCTCACCGGGTCCCGGTCCTCCCACGGGGGATGCCGGCGCCGGTATCTGTCCCACGGCAGATCCCTGCCCACCCACGGGGGATGTCGGTACTTGTCCCGGTCCCGGTCCTCCCACGGGGGATGCCGGTACCTGTTTCCCGGCCGCTCCCGGTGCGGATCCCGTTTCCGCGCTCCCGTTCCCGGTGCCGCGCCCGCGGTGCCCCTGCGCTCATCTTATATACCAGAGCGATAATGAGGCCACGCCCACTGACACTCCTCCTCCACGCTCCACCAATCAGCGGCGCCTCCCCTTCCCGCCCTACCCAATGAGGAGGCGGGGCCGTGAGGGGCCGACCAATGAGGGGCGTCGCGGCGGGGCGCGCGCCGCAGTTTCTCTTAAAGCGAGGCTTTCCTCGAAATCAGCTGACCGGGAGGGGGCGTGGCCTGGGCGAGGGGCGTGGCCTGGGCGAGGGGGCGTGGTTTACCCGCCCCTGTCCCGGGTCTGGCCCGGGTCCGTTCGGTCCCGTCGTTCCCGGTCCCAAATGAATCCGTTCCCAATTCCAAGCCAGCTTCCCCAGTCCCCGAGCCCAGACGCAGACTGGTCCGTTTCCAGCCCCAGATCAGACCATCCCCAGCCTCAGACCAGTATCCCCAGTCCCAGATCAATCCATCCTCAGCCCATGGTCAGTGTATCCCCCAATAAATCTCCCCAGTTCCACACCAGTCTCCCCAGTCCCAGACTGGTCACTCTCCAGTCCCAGGTCATTCTATCCCCAATCCCAAACCAGCCTTCCCAGTCCCAGACCAGTGTCCCCAGCCCCAGCTCAGTCCATTCCCACTCCCAGGCCACTTTCTCCAGTCCCAGACTGGTCCATCCCCAGTCCCAGTTTAGTCCACCCCCAGGCAGTTCCCAGCTCCTTTCTGCATCAACCCCAGTCCCAAATCACTCCCTCCTTCCCTGCCCCAGCAGTTCCCCCTGTTCCCTGTTTGGATTTGGTGTCCTGACTGTGCCCCAGCCCAGCCAAACCCAGCCAGGGCCACCAGAGCATAAAGGACCATCTGCAGCCTGACTTCAGCGGGGGTTTTTTTGGGATTACCAGATTACACACACATTTCTTGGAAGAAAACCATAATTACTCCCACGTGGGTAATACAGAGAAATGGGAAATGTATGGAGCTGCACAGATGGTTTAATAAAAATAACGCTCTGAGGTGCACAACCTTTCCTGTCATTCCTAATAAAGAATGGCTGGAATGGTCCTTGTTTTTAAACACCCCACTGATCCTCACTGGATCCCCCCCAGGAGATTTGGGGTGAGCCAAAAACATCTTCTGCAGTCAGATAGTCAGGAGGATTCATTTTCTTTTTTGAACAAAAATACAATTTTAAGCATTGCAGGGACTTTGCATCACCACCTCCCCCTGCTAGACAGAGACCCTCCTGTAAAAAGCTCTTTATTTTGTTAAAATTCTGGAAAAGTTGCGATATTTTAAAGGGTCTGCACACAACTAGACTCTCCATCTTCTCTGGAGACCAAAGACCTGGCGATTCATTGCAATGGAGCATCATTCCCAGCTTCATTTTGGCTCTGCATCTTCACAGACAGCCTGAAAAGGTAAATCCAAATTCCCTGGGATGAGGAGGCTCCCCGTGGGGAGGATAAAAACATTAAACCTGTTAAAATGGGAGTTCAGGCACTTGAAATAGGCTGGGAGATGTCCCACAGCTGCTCCCCGTGCCAGAGGCACCAGGCTGTCGGGAAAGCTGATGTGGGACAGCAGAACCGAGCACAAGCTGCTCTTGGCAATGTCCAAAAAGGGGAAATCAGCCCAGTTTTACCTGTTCAGGGTTTCCCTAAAGCCACCTCAGGTCTCACTGATAGAGGCCAGAGTGGAAAAATGGGGATATTCACCCAGGATCCCCCTCAAATCCAGGGGAATTTGGGTTAGGAGGAGCTTTTTGGACGGAGTTGTCGCTGTGATGTCAGGCACGGAGGGTGCTGCTGCTCCGGGGAAGCATTCCCCGTGATTCCCCAAATCAGGGGGATTTTCCCAGGTTTTGCTTTGGTGCTTGTGGGAATGTTTGAAGGCTGGGATGGCCGGGAGGGGCAGGGCTAGCCGGGCTGTGGAGGTTAGCACACCTCCTGCAAATCTAATCTCTGCTTATCACCCATCTCCAATGACTTCCTATTAACTCCCACTTTCTTCTCTTTTCTCTTCCTGCGTGCAAGTTCCATTTTTTCTGCTTCCTGAAATGAAAACAGAGGCTTTAAATCCAATATTGATCCCGTTTGCTCAGCCTCCCTTCAGCCCACTCCATCAACAGCTTCAATCTCATTAATTGCTTTCCCATTACTTCCATGTGGAACAAGAGCCACAGGGACCCTTTTCTCCATCTAAAAAAAAATGGGGGAAACACCCTTTTTTCACCCCCCCTGGAATTCTATACATGGAATATTTAAAACTTTTCATTTTGCTGGTGGTTTTCATCAAGAAAAAGGGAAGCAGGGTGGTCATTTCAGTCCATCTCTGCATTCCCACCAGGAACACCACAAATCAAGTCCAGGCACCCTCATCATTTTAATCACTCTCTTCTTTATTAGGAGCTGGGCGAGTCACCCCCGGTGCTGTCACACGATGAGTACCCAGAAATCTTCATCAAGAGAATTCCTAGAAATGTTTTAATCCCTTTTTTCTTAGAAGGAATTGCAGAACAGACATTTTTGAGTGGACAAACAGGGTATTTATAGCAAAAGGCCAAGATGGCACGGAAGGGTTGAAGGTTTCCATGGGGAAGGTCCAATCCATGGGATGGGACCCTCCTTGTAAGGCTGATGGGGGGGGATTCCTGCCAAAGAAAGCTCTGGAAAAGCACAATCCGAGGTTGGGATGAAAAACTGGACATGGCCATGGGGTTTAGGTATTAAAAAGGCTTTTGGAGAGGGACAGAGTTAAATTGGTCCATGAGTTGAGTGAATCCAACCAAGCTTTTGGCTTCTTTGGCAAGCAGGGACATTCAGATGGGGCTCAGGGAAAACCCAAACCCACTCTGGCTCCAGGGATGGGGGCAGTGGGACAGGCAGCCTTTGGCACTGCTGGATTTCCCCCCTCCCTGGGGTTGGGATAAGGAAAATGCCAGATATTCACCTGCCAAGGACAGGCTGGAGTGGGAAGCTCCATGCACAGCCCCAAAACACCTCCAGCCCCCTCTCACCATCCCACTGGGTGCCAGCCGAGGCTGAGCAGCACCCCCACATCCCGGGATTCATCCCTCCTTCCCCAGGGAAGCAGAGGACAAGGTGGCCTCTCTCCATCTCATCCCACCTTGGATTTCCAAGGTCTGCACCACCTTTCCCGTGCCCTGCCAGCCCAGATATTGTCATGAGGAGAGAGGGACGGGGCCGGCTGCTGCTCTGAGGGTGGAAAAGTGGCTGTAATCCATTGGGAGCGGGGGAATGGGACGGAGCAGGACACTGGCACCCATTCAGTGGAGCTGGCAGCTGCCAGGGGGGGCTGTGAGTCCTGTCCCCCTGCAGCCCACGCTGCTGCTGGTGGATTTCTGCCCTAGACTTGAATCCCTGGAGGTGCCTGGCAAAGGGAGAACGGAGTTTTCCAAGCCCCAGGGCCAACGCCTGCCCGGGAACAGCTGCTTATCTGCTCATCCATCTGCTGGCACCACCGGTGCCACCTTCGTGGCAGGGAGGAGGGAAGGTGGGAGCTGGGGATCAGAGCCAGGAGCGATTCCTGCTCCACAGCTGCTGCCGGCCCAGCAAGCGCTGCAGCTCCTCCTGGTCCTGGAAGGGGTTCCTGCCGTATTCCCGGCGGATCCAGGCGCGGTACTGCCAGGAGAAAGCCAGGAGAGGTTGTCAGGGTGGCCTGAGAAGCTGAGAGAACCCAGAGAGAGAGCAGGGCTGCGACAGCTCCAGGGGAAAGCAGCGAGCAGAGCAATTCCTGCTGCATCCCCAGCATGCAGGAAGGTCCCAATCCCACAGGAGCTCACACCCAGCACACCACAGATGCACTGGATCCCCCCATCACAGCATTCCCCATATGCCCAGCCCGGGACAGAGCTGGCAGCACCCTCAGCTTCCCACGCTGGCTGCAGCTGGGACAGCAGCTTTATTTATTTCTCCTTGCCAAGAAGCTGCTGCTGTTCCTCGTGTGCCTGAATTCCCGTAAGGAATGCTTCCCAAAGCTTTGTTTCCCCACAGGCAGCACAAGGCTGAGTCAGTCCTTGCGAGGTGGGGCAGGTTTGTTGTCAGAGCACCTCGCTCACCACCGGTTGTGGGGAACCTCTCATCCCAACTATCCCAGTTATTCCAGAGGCAGGAGCATCCTGGTGGCCAGGAGCCAGCTGGCAGCAGGGTGAGTCCTGGAAGCAAGGGATGATCCAGAGAAACTGTTCCTGTTACTGTGGGGATGAGGAAACAGCCAGACAGCCCCAAATTGCAGCACAGAGGAGCGAGGGCAGGAAGGGACAGCTCTGCTGGGATTCACCATTCCGGCTGCCCGGGGCTCGCAGGGAACAGCCAGGGCTCTGCCACCTCCCTGAGGAGCTGGGAACCAGCTGCTCCAACAAGGAATTACTGGGATGAGTGGTAGGAGCACCCCCAGCAACACCAAACACCTCGAGGAAAGGATGGAGGGCACCTGTGAGTGCAAAGGGTGCGGAGAGTTGCCGAGCATTGGAGCCCTGGGATGGGGTAGCACAGGGACAGGGATGAGATGGATGGGATGCTCTCCAGGGGGAAAGGAAGCAGCTCTCATGAGCTGCCCAGCCTTGGCACTGCCAGGGTGAAGTGCCCGTGCTGTGGATTTGGTCTCCTGAATGGGCAGGAGCCACCCAGTTCCTAGAAAAAGTTTGGCATGCAGGACAGCAGGATTGGCAGCTCAGCACTGTTCTTCCAGCACTGGATGAACCACAAGGGAAAAAAAGTTCTAGACTGGCCCTGGTGGTATCCCCCTCTCCTGCAGCCAGGGAAAATCAGCTGGAGCAGGGGGGATTTCTGCTGGGAATGTCTGGATTTCCCAAATGCACTCCCTCCAACAGCAGGACTCACCACGGCTGTTACACCACTGCCACCTGCAAGCAGGGAGATCCCAGCTCAGGGTGGTCCTGAGAGCCAGAGCATTCCCCGCTGGAACACAGCCCCTCCCTGGGAAGTGAGACCCAAAGGGTTTGGGACAGGATTTGGGGCAAGATCCATGCCAGGATCTCATGGGAGGGAACATCTCCTTTATGCAAACCATCCAGAGGGATGAAGCTCCATGGGAAGGGCAGCCTGGCACCCACCAAGGCTCAGCACCCACCCAGGCTGGGAGGAAGGAGTGGGTGGGAGATGGGGGAAGCTGCCAGGCATTTCCCCTTAAAGCCAGAGCAAGAAGTGGTTCCAGCCCATTTCCTCCAGTGCTGACCACCAACCCACTGCCCTCCTCCTC